GGGAAGACCCCAAGTTGAGAAACATCATAGTTTCAGGTCTGGTTTTAAGGATTACCTGATTTTTCAAAAAGCACTATGTTCCAAAGTTAGTTTTGGTTTCTTCCAAATCATTATTTCTCCAGTAATCTTTACTTTTACTGTTCTCAGAGAAGTAGATGAGATAGTGGTTGATGATTAGAATTATGTATCAAGTTAGCAAAACCTTTAAAGGACATTTTATTTACATAAGGTGGATATTTCTGCAGCACATTTTAGAACAATTTGGAACACACAACCTTGATGGTGATCGGGGCATTAGTGAATTTCAGAAACCACATTAACCCCAGTCCTCTTTATTACAGCAGAACAGGGTGGTCTGAATTAAATCTGTGCATAGCAATATCACCAGCAAAACTTATATCTAAAGAAGCTCTCTTGCCTCCAATTAGGTCTGAGTGATGTTTCTGCCAGGAATTGGGATGTGGAGCTGTCAAAAGTCTTTTTTAGGATGAAACTCAAGACTTGTAGAGTACGTAGCTGAAGTACTTGATTTTTGAAAGGCTACTGGAAAACTCTCTGACTCTCATCAGACTTCTAGTTCATTTTAGTGTGTTGTTTTGTTTATAGTATGTGTTCCTATGTGACTTCTGCTGAATGGAAATTCCCAGCATCTCTCTGGATGTCCATTTCTCCCTGGTCATGTTCCTTCTTCATTGTCTGAGCAAAAGCAAACCATCCTGTTTGCTTCCCAGGGGCAGGTTATGCTTCCGTGTTTGTTGGATTTGTAGAAAATCCAGCTCTAGATGATGGATTGACATAATTGAAACTATGTTTAGAAACATACTGAGATAGAAATCAATAGACTGCCGTCTGACAGTGTCAAAAGATGTTCTGTCACAGTGAGAAAACAGGAGGAAAGTTGCTGTAAAACGTTTGCAAGTAGTAAGAATAGGGAGCATGTTTTATGAAGAGATTTTCTGATAGGAGTTTGTAGTTATTTATGTCCTTTTCACTGTTGGGCCATGTTCAAAGGCAAGCGCTCTTCTAAGTTGTATAAACATTGCTGTTAGAAAGGGAAAATCTTGTGATGCTGTATTATCACCCTTGAAAGAGGGGTAGTGTTTCAGGCACATGAATAAAACAAAACCAGAAGAATGATGAACGCTGTAAATCCCAGGACCCAGACGGAGGTGGAGTTTGTGCTGCCATAACAGGACAGGTGAGTGAGGGGCTGTATGAAAGTTACCTGCAGGTCCCTGCCCAGCACCACCACCCATGCCTGTCCAGACCTGGGGAGCGTGGATGAGCAGTGGGGTTTCAGGCATTTGTACGTGGCTGGTAAGTGTTGGCATCCCCCAGATCCTTGGCAGCAGTGAGCTCAGTCTAGTTTTGATCTGTGTAAGAAGGGAGATGCTGCCAGAGAGGTCTCATGGGTCGGCTGGGTGACGGCACAGTGTTGTGGCTATGGGACAGGTCGTGCCCTCACAGAGGATCCTGCCAGGAAACCTCCAGTTCCTCGGTGGTGGCAGACCTGCCTGCAGCTGTATGCTTTGGAGGAGCCTTGCAGGACTTCTTGAGAGAGAGACATGAGATACAGATTGCTCTGCATCTCTGTTGGCCAACGATACCTTTAGTGTTACAGATTGAATAGATTTACAGTGGAGGCTGTGAGACCCGGGAACAGGTTCCGCAGAGAAGCTGTGGATGCCCCATCACTGAAAGTGATCAAAGTCAGGTGGGACAGGGCTTTGGGCAACTTGATCCAGTGAAAGATGTCCCTTTCCTTGGCAGGGGTGTTGGGCTAGATGATCTTTGAAGGTGCCTTCCAACCCAAACCATTCTGTGATTCTATGAATACTTCTCTTGGTTATGCAAATGTGTGATCTTCCAGAACATTGGAGGTGATTGACAGCAAAGATGTGGAGGGGTGATAAGTTCTGCAGAAAGTGACAGACTCTCATTTTGATTTTTATTCAACAACTCCTTTGTTTCTGGGCCATGTATAAGGGCAAATTGACCTCTTTGCCTTCTTTTAAGTGATTCTTCTGCAGTTCATTGAACACATATGCTGCTAGAGCCTGAGCTTAGAAACTCTTCTTTGCTACCTACAACAGCTGACCCGTCCTTCTCTGCACAGTTTGTAGCACCGGTACTTGCTCAGCAGCAGGGTGCTGTGATTCAGGGAAGAGGGAATGCCTGTCAGGGTGTGTGATGTGTGTGGATAGACAAGTATTGAAATGACAATTATTACTGTCACTCTTCAAAATGTGTTGTTGCTGTGTCGGTGCCTGCCTATCACTGTCTACGTAGGCTTCCCATTGCTCTGCCTATTCTAGAAGATTTTGGAGTGTCAGAGTCTGAGCAGGAGAGGAGTCTTGGTTATTCTTATGACGGTGCTACGTGTATAAATGCAGTCCTTCATGTCATCTTGCACAAAGTGAGTAATTTTTTGCATATACATAAGTAACATAAATGAGATATTCCCCATGCTACAGAGCATTGGACAGCCTCAGTGAAGGGGAGTGAGGGAGGTCGGTCAGAATTTAGAGGTATGAGGCCATTCTGTTGAACTTAGGGAGGGACACTATGGCTTCAATCAGAAGCTTTTCAGAAGGATAGTTGATGTGTAATATGTAGAAAAAAATGTCTTTATAGGAAAAACATTAAAGAAAGTTTTGAAAATGCTAGTATTGTTCAAAGGTGGAACCTTGTACTGAAAAGTCAGTTTGTTAGACAAAACTGTTAATGGATATTTTGGGCATTCTTTCATTTGCTAAACTACATTATTTCTTCAATTATTTTTTTTTTTTCCACAAGACAAAATAAGAGGATGCTACTAGAAGGAAAGTACCCCAAAGCAGACCAGCTTTCAGCACCAGCAGTGATGTTTCTCCATATTCTGATGAACAGATCTATACTTTTACTCTTGAAAGGAGGAAGCCATTCGTTGCTTACCTTGTAGTGTGCTCAGGATTTTAAAAAACAAATATTTTATTGTTTGACTCCTTCTAGTGCTACAGCCTAGACCCTACTGTGCCATCTCTTTTTGGGTAACATACCCAAGAAAGATACATTTGGAGTGTTGAGCTCTGTGCTGCAGCTGTCCTCACCCCAACCAGGCTGGGAATCCTCGCTTTCTCTCTTCTCCACCATTATTAGTGATGAAAGGCCCCGTATCACTCACTGGGACCTTACAGAACTCTGATGGTGAATTGTCACCAAAAAGTGCTGATGTGTTGTTTATTTTGGGTGACTGATGCAAAGCTTTGGATACTTGGTTTCACAGTGTTGGATTTTGTACAAGATTTTTGTGTGTAACAGATCGGCTGATTTTTAGAAAATGCAACATGTATGCAGATATTTCCAGATTACTGTATTGCAGCAGGGTCAAAACTGAAAGTATGTACTGGTAATTTAAAATGAAAGGTTTGATAGAGGAAATAGGTGGTCGTCTCTAGGTGGGAATCACAAACGGGGCAATTGGAGTTGTACTGCAGAACTCCATGTGCGGTAGGTTGAGCAGCAGCACCCGTGTCCTGCAGCGAGACCTCAGGGCAGAACTTAACCCAAATATATCTGAACCTGTCACTTGGCATCCAGTGTAGCTCATCTGGGGTGGCAGGCACTGAGAAGCCTCAGCTGGGTGCGGATGGGTGTCTGCTGGTCACAAACTTTCCTTCGAGACTACAGGTTTGTGTAGATGTATGTTGCCATGATGATCTTAACGGTCCTTTCAAACCTGAATGATTCTGTGATCCTTGCAGTATTTCACACCCTGAAATTGCTGTAAAGTGCTTTGACCTGTAACTATTTTTTTCTCTCTCTTTTTTTTTTTTTTTTTTTTTTTTTTTTTTGGTCTCAGAGTTACCTAAAACATCTCTTTGTACAAAGTAGAGAAATGTGCAGAGCAGGATGGTGCCCTCTGGCTTTTCCCAGGAGGGCTGTGAGGTGATTGGGAGTGCAACACCCGTTCTAGGGTGCAGGCAAAAGAAGGTTGTTGGAGGAATCCAGGTATCATGCCAGCTTTGGGTGGCTGATGCCTTCTGTGATGAGCAGCAGTGAGTTGTTAAGATATCGCCCAGGCAGTGGGAAGCCTGGGAGTGTTCAGTCATAGGCTCATGGGAAGATGGGTTGGAAGAGGCCCCTGTCTCGGTGTGCTTTGGTGGAGAGGAGCACATGTTTCCTGCAGCCAAATGAGAACGAGACAGGGTCTTCTGCAGTCTAGTGGGAGGGCTGTGAAGGGACATTTCCCTTCTTAGTCCCTGATCCTCCTGCTGCTTGAGCCAGGTCATCTCAACTTCAATTAAAAATACATAGCCAGCAGCTGGAGTGGTGACCAGGACTCCTCAGACCCTACTATTTATTTTACTTTTTTACCCATGATTTCTCAGTTAGCTACAGAGCAAAGCTTTCTCTTTCCTGGTCACCCCTCTGATGGGCAGAATTTTGGTCCCTGCTTGGTGACACACTCGGCAGAAGGAGCGCACAGCACGAGCCTGGTTATCTCCGTTTGCTGTTAGGCTGAGAAGGGTCAGGAACCCTGTCAGCCCTCCTACGATTGGGGTCTTAGATAAACAATATCCCGAGGTTCCCTTTCCCCTCCTCAGTGCCATCCAGCCTGGGCCCGATTGCATGCCCAGGCTGTGCTGAGGGGTCGGGCCCCTTTGCCACTAGGGCTGAAGTTGAGCCTGCCAGCATGGACCTGGTTAAAGGGCTTGGTGTGGAGGTGCCCTGTGGCTGCTGGTAGCCCTGGCAGCTGCTGCCGGTACCCCAGCTGTCACAGGAGGTTCTTTGGACACCTCACTTTGACAACTGACTTGGTATGAGATGGGGGAAGACCTCGTGGTGAGAGCTGACTCTATTTCTTCATCCCCATGTCCCTAACATAAGCTATGATTTGCTAATGTTGTGAAATGCATTTTCCTTTTCTTACGATATGTTGTTTTTTTTCTGTTTATTTCCAGATGCTCTTAATATTTTGTTGCTGACAAAAAGTTTACTTTATGTTCATTGTCTCCCAGGTAAACGCAAAGCGCTGAAGTTAAATTTTGCAAATCCACCTTTCAAGTCCACAGCAAGATTTACTCTAAACACTTCTGGAGTTCCTTTCCAAAATCCACACATGTGAGTATAAAGCCAAAGGCACAACTGGTGGAACAACTTTGAAATTATTCAGCCAACATGCAGTGTTATTTTAAATGCAGTTTGATTACTTCAGCTATTTGTAGGTTGTTCAAATCTGCCAGTTTGAGTCACTGTAGAACATATTCCCCCTCCCCTTCCCACCCCCCCCGCCCTGAATTAAAAAAAAGGTTAAATTTGGGATCTTCCTGTTTTATACTGGAGCTACTGCATTCCAGAATTCATTAAATTGAGATAAACTGTAGCTCATAATGCAAGATATACTTAGAAGTAATTTCCAAATCTATTCAGTGTCATTTTCCTGTCTCTATTCAGTGCTTATTACTTTTCATTAGAGAGATGTTCTTGTTTCTGTGTTGTGAAAGACATAACTGTGATAGATTTTTATTTTTTTTTTTTCAGCACTAGAATAAACAAAGGTTTGAGGATTAATCATTCTACCAACATGGAGATGTCAGGGAGTTAAGCAGTGATTAGCTCTCACTGAGTTTTTTAGACAGCTAGCTACAAGATATCCCTATCCAAAGTTTGAACACAAGTGTGGCACAGAGCTGTTCCTGATGCTAGTAAATAACAGTAGTACATCATCACAGAAAATATTAGCTTTGTATCCTCAGATCCACCAATCTAGATGGATGGGTGATGCCTGTATGTGTGGCAGAATGCAGCTAGCATGCAAAGATGTCCTAAATTTTTCCCCTCTAAGTTCCCCAGCAGGTCTCAAGAGTTTTGTCAGTGTCAAGTCTCAGAAACTGCACTTGCAGCTTGCCCCGCTGCCCAGATTCTCTGGGGTGTCCCTGGTTATAGGCTGCTTATGCTTGGCTCTGCATGTCACTGCCTCTCTCCTTTAGCTCAATGCCTTCTGCTTCCCCAGGATATACCCTCTGGGGTCTGTTCCTCTTTCTGGTAGCTTCTTTATGCTGGGTATTTTCAAGCAAGCCTTTATTGAGGTAGAAACGTGTTTCTGATGAGCTATCAATGATAATAACAACATTGAGAAATTTTATAGAGTACTTTAGATGATTCTTCTTACTATCCCAAGTGATCTTTCTAGCAATTCCTCCTCTCTCCTCTCTGTTTTCATCTCCAAAATAGGGTATTCTTACTGATTGTAGAGGTAGCATTTATATATTTACTTTTTGTGTCTCATCACATCATCAAACCCTTGTAACAATTATCTGTAGAACCCCATCTGGGGCTTTTTTCCTCTCTCAAACCTCCCTTATCCATTAAATAAAGGACTTAGTCTCAGCTAGCAAGTTCCCACCATCAACCTTCTATAGGGATTTGACTTTTCTGTGTTTATCTGCACAGATTTCTGTCTCAAGTTCACTGGAAGTCACAGTAGCTTCTGTCTAGCACAGAAGGATTTTCTGTGACATCAGTGTCACAGAATGAAGTCAGTGGCATCTTAAGTTTCATGGATGTGCAAGTGACTGACAACATTGTCCATCAAGAAGGTGCTGCTCTGTCTCTGTGGGAGTTGCAGTTATTGACAGGGGTTGGATCCTGGGCTGGTTAATGGTGTAACTGGTTCTGAGGGCTTGGAAGTGTTTTTGGGTTGGATATGATAGCCGTTCAAGGGTCAAAAATGATGGTGATGTGTCTGTGCTAAAGCTTTCTTGGGAGGCTACAAGCTGTAATAGCTGTTTCTGTTTGAAAGAGGTGGATGCTGCTGATTGGATTGCTTTCTCTGTGTTGAGGCTGACTAAGCTTGGATACAGCCAATTCAACCTCATGTCCTTTGCTGTCTGTAGTGAATGCTGTTCCTCAAAAGTGATGTTCACATCCCCCAGTTGCACGCTTCTCTCAAGTGTTTGTCTCGCAGCTGGTGCATCATGGTGATGTGTCTGCATCTCCTGCCTGCTCCCCAGAGAGACTGGAATGTTTTTTCCCATGTTGTCTAGAAACCTTTCTAGACTTCAGATTTGAATTGGATATTCCAGACCTCTTGGTCTAGATGCATTCCCGATGCAAGGTGTGTTCACTGAGTCGCTTCTTTTCCCCAGCCTTGATGGAGCAGAGTGGCCTCGGCACCCTCCTGAGATGAGTGCTGGCTCGACACTGCTGGGGATTTCCCTGTGGAGACCATCTTAGTCCAGATGGGTGGATCTGAAGATACAGAGAGGTCAATTTCTCATGTGAAATTTGGTTTTCTGTGATTTGGATCCACCGATCCGGAGGTGTCCCATTGCTCCTGCCTCCAGGAGGGCAGAGGGTCCTACCATCAAATGTGTGTTGCCTGCGCTGAGCTCTGTCTGAGCTGCAACAGGAGGCAGCCAGCAGTGACCTGCAGCTGCCTGAGACGCATATTGCCTATTAGCTGTATTTTGCTTGATTAACAGGTTTGGTCGGGGAACTAATCAGTCTGGATTGGTGAATGTTCAGGTAAGAGTGTGGCTTCTTCCTATGTAGACAGAAAGCAAAGGAGCAAATGGGGCTCCTCGTGCCCATATTTGTGTTCGGAGAGAGGAAACCTCTGCATAAACTGCATCACTGGAGCAAAGACAGTGCTGCCGAGCAGGCACGTTGTGCCAGAGGTGGCCTTGGAAATTTCAGGATATTTAGTGTAGTTGTGCTCCTCCTCAGTACTCTGGTGAAGTGGGTATGGACTAAATGTACCCTGTCAAGGTGTGAGTTCGGTTTTCTTTTTAGTGTTTGTTTCTTGGTCTGAGAGATCTCAGAAGTGTTGGAAAAGAAGTTGGGCAGTGTGGAGGAGCCCGTCCTGGGAATCACCGTAAGCCAGGGCTGGAGTTTAGCTCCAGTGAGAGGGGACTTGGTGTGATTTCCACAGAGGGGTTTCCCAGGTGATCTGTGCATGATTTCTGACTCCATTTATTCATGCTAATTCCTTGGGTTTAATGGCATGTTATCTGAAGGAATGATTTCAAAGGCCATGAAATCTCAATTGCACAACGTGGCATTATTAAGACTCTGGTTAGTGCTTCCCAGTTGCCTTACTCACTGGGCTCCTGCCTGGAGGCTGTTCCCAGAGATTTGCTGCTCTCATGGGTGGAGGCTTTTTGTTAATGCATAGGTTGTGCTCTGGAATACTGTTTCTAGGGGGAGAGAGCATTGAATAAACACTGCTGAATATAGAAAGCTGAGATATGGGTTCCTAAATCTTTCCTGCCCATCCTTGTCTTTTCTTTCCCATCTGTGGTGGCTTTCAGCCATGTCTTATGGTTTTCATCTCAGGCTGAGGCTGCATCCCTCTGGGATGTACGAGTGTGCTGCTGTGGGTGCGCAGGAGGTGGGTGCCGGGGCATGATCCAGAGCAACATATAGGAATGTGAGACCACATGCAGGAGCAGGAGGAGCTGGTGAGTGGTTGGGACCTCAGAGCTTTGCCATGCCATTGTGCGACGGTGTTGGAACTGAGAGCTGGTGAGGACTGCAGTGGCCAGCTGGCAGCGGGTGGCACGGCCCTGCTGCTCCTGTCCTGTTCCTGCCCAGCCCATGGCACCATGAGCCCCTGCCCAGGACACCACCCTTCTCAGTACATCCACTACCAGCTGTGTCTCAAAGGAGGTTGCCTTTGTCACAGATGACCAGGAAACCGATCAAGGAGGAGAGTAGCAGACCAGAGGCTACATACAACTGCTCAGACTGGAGTCAGTGGCAAAACCCCTTACATCTCCAGTGCTGCTAGGGTTTTGCCCTAAATATTTTCTGAATTAGAACATGTATTAAAGTCAGGGGACTTTGAAGTGACCTTTAAATAGGAGATTGACTCAGAGTGGCTTTGAATGAGATTAGAAACTGAAGGTACTTTTCTAGTTGCTAGAATTTGGGCTATGGCTCGCTGAAATCTCCCTGGTGATGCTAAGGGCTGAGACATCCCTTTTTGCAACTGAAAGGCACTGTGAATGGCTTTCCTGTGCAAATCCTGTTGGGGCAGGTGAGCAGAGCCCTGGGATGATATGTTGAACCGTGGGGAGCAAGGCAGAGGGTTGGAAGGAAGGTCTGTTCTGCTTCTGTGATGGCATGTGACTGATGGAGCTATGGAGGACATGCATCTTGTTTGGTTCAGCCATGACCATTACCGCCAAACCTGCTTTATCAGTGCAAAGAGAGATTTTGTTTAGGTATAGCATGCTACCTGTCCTGTCCAAAGGGTACCTAGCACAGTGATATACATAATTTTACATGTGCTCTATACAGGGTAAAGGCAGAATAGAAACTGAATTACAGAGAATAGTTGGGGAGTAAAATTCTTACTTGAAAGGATGCAGTCTAGAGAAGATGTGTCTTACTGACTGCTGATGCCCCAGTCAAGGGAGGTGTATGCTCCTGCTTGTGCCCTGTCAAAGTCAGCAAGGCTGTGTGTGATTGCCATGCTCTGTGGGCTGGGTAACAGTGGAGGCTGTGGATATCTGTCAGTTGAGACTATGGTTCTCATTAGTGCAGACGTATTTCTGAATTAGACCAGATTAACAAATGCTAACTTTGTTTTCCCTGCAGCAGACATTGCAGAGGCTGGAGGACACAAGCCATGATTAGGGTGAGCTCTTAAACTTCTGACCCATTGTTTTTCAATTGCTATTTCCAACCAACTGAAAAGCATCCCACCTTTTACCTCATCTGTTCTGTGTCCAAGTGGGATTTAGGTCACAAACAAGATTAGATTACTCAATTATCTGTGTGTAAGCTTTACAGAGCTACTTGCAGCTGGTGGTCTTTGCTGGAAGGAGGTTCAAATAACACTAGCACAGGAATGATGCGGTGAGATGTGACTGTATAGCTGTGCGTGGCAGGTTTGCCTGGCAGCTGTCCGTGATGTTCTGGCCATCGCTGGCATCCATTGAACCAAGTTGTTCAGTTGGCTGCAGATGAGTTTTTTGGTTTTCTGGAAAGTGTTATACTCTTCTGGTGCAGTGATGCCTTGATCCTGACTTCAGATTACAGAATTTAGATCCACCTGCTAAGAAATGAGCATTTACAGAGACTTTTGTTTGGCATCTGGTTCACAGCATGTTGCT